TATACAGGGTTCTAAGCTGGAGCATGAGTTGTCTGTGTACTGAGTACACAAGCAGGATCAAATGCTAGATAATGAGAGGTTGGACACACTCCTTTGTAAGTAGTAAGGAGTGCTACCAGACTGTCAGAATGATGAGGAGGACAACTCAAGTAGTACATAGTCCCTTCTTTACTTGTTGACAATTTAACTAACTACTACTAGTCACTTGATCTAGATACAGATTACATATATTTAGGTAGGAGGCATTCTGTGTTGTACAAATCAGACTTCTACAAGACAGACTGGGTAGTAGAGGAGGTTGAAAACAGGCAGGTCGAGTTGTGGTTCTAGAACAGTTCTCTAGTGCCAGAGTCAGTACTAGATAGTAGCCTGACACCTTTGACAAGTCAGAGGTGTAACAGTTGTGTCTGTTAGTACATAGTGTACATTCAAGAGTACAGAGAGACAATTGTATACTTAGTATGTAAGAAGAGTAAGATCCATTACTCTCTTACAAAGACTGGTAAGATGGTAAGGGATACAAGGTTGAGGCAGGGGAGGACAATAGTGACAAACCTGTACCCTGTGGCTAGACTGTTAAGAGTGTGTTTAGAGGATCTGGGTAAGTTGTTCTAAGATCAATACTAATAGCTTTTGAAGACAACATTCTTCTAGGTGAACTCTTAGAACACTTGTCAGACAACAGTAAGTTCTGAGAGGATCTGGAGCTCAAACACAAGCTTTGTGTCCTTAGAAGGTAGGTGGCTACCTATTGTGTAATGTTAGATACAATAATACAGGACATAGAGCAGCTACAGGCTAGGATGGGTGTAAAGGCAAGACATTAGAAGGATGGACAGAAGGATGGACAGAATTAGACATTCTGTTTAGAACAACTGAACCAGTGTAAGTGAGACAGTCAATGTAAAAGCTGCCTGTAGAAGTAGCCAAATATAATCCCCTCTCTATAGTTTTGAATAGTATTTTCTGTATGTTCATAGTAATGTATGATGTTACTAAAGTATGAGTGTGATAATTGTAAGGTAATAAGAGTGACTCAGCATTGATAGGTAAACAACAGAGGCAAGGCCATATACATACTGAAAGTAAGGTAAATTAACAGAATGAGAACAGAACAAGAACAGAACAAAACTGAAAAGAAACAGAACAAAAACAGAACAAAAATAGAACAAGAACAATGTAAGAACAGAACAAGAACAGAACAAGACAGAACAAAACAGAACAAGGCTCTCAATACATGACTTTAAGACTGTTGTGACTGAAGAAATGCAAAAGTAGTCTAAGGGCTGCTGGACAAAAACCTGTGTACAAAAAACCTAGTAGGAAAAAACATACTACAGGGAAAACCATATAGGTTCAAAGTATAAGTCTAACTATAATCTACAATTAGTTAAAAGCAAAATCAAAGAAAAACAGAAGATAGAGTAGAACAGGATCAGAATGTTGTCTAGAATATTATAAGGGGTTAATAGAAAAAGGCAAATTCAAGAAAGTATAGAACACATAGGTCTATAGTAGTTAGCCACAATTGGCCTTTAGTCAGAGTCAGAGTCCTTGGAAGGCTTGTCCAACAGTAGCAGGTTGTTAGTGTTGTCAATTTCATTAGCTAGACCAAAGTTTTCAACAAGATGTGTGACTAGAATCAAGAGTATAGTGTGGGCAAAGTACAGAACCAAGCAGAACACTGTAATGTAAAGACAGGAGACTGATCCATCAAGTTCAGCTACAATATAGGATCCTCCTTGTATACAACAGACTACTGTGTATAGTCTGAGATAGTGTGGCTTGGTTTTTCATCTGAGATCCATTCATGATTTAGAGTTGTGTATGAGGACAAGTTGACCAGGTTCAAAGTTAAAATCTTTGATTGAGTGTTTGTGTGTTTCTTCAAATTGTTAAAGTAAAGTGATCTGGTCTGTATGGACACATTCTGTAATAGCTTGAAGGTTGGCCAGACGTTTCTGTAGTTGACATGCTTGAGTTGTAATGAGTTCTGTCATTGTTATGAGTTTGTCTGGTGCTAGAGTAAGATACATTGCTTCTGTAATATTGAATAGGAGAAGTGGTTCAATACTATGGACAATAAAATAAGGGGACATGCCAGTTGCACAACAGATCATGATCCAATCCAACCAAAAGACAGAATGTGTGTGTTCATGCCATTATAGTTCATTCCCTTCAGCAGCCTTCATAAGGGCTTCTTGTATGTTAAAGTGGCAGTATTCAATAATACTATTAGCTCAAGAGTTGTATGTGCTAATACAGATGTGATTGATGTGGTATCAGTTGTGAAGCCAATCTAGTACAGCAACAAACAGGGTTCCATTGTTAGTAACAAGTTCTGGGCACACACTAAATTAACAGAGAATATCTTCAAAAATGAATTGTTTAATACTTTGTCCAGTTTCAGAACAGAGTAAGCAGAACTCAGGGTAGCTGGAGAGTGTGTATCAAGCATGAACAATGTATTAGAACCCTCCTGCTTTCAGTATGAACTTAGTGTTAATATGTACCTTAGCAAATAATAGGGCAATCTTCAGAATGCTGGGAGGGATCAGGATTTGAGTTGTCTAACAGAGTTGGCATTTGTAGCAGGTGTAGATGTAGTACTTAATGTTGGGTCCAAGGCTAGGCCACTAGAAGTGGTTGAGAAGTCTAGCCTAGACAGAGTAGACTCCTTTATGTCTGAGATTGTTATACATAGTCTTGACAAGATTCCATTATTGGTCAGGTTCTATTACAAGTTGGTGGTTACTGTTCCAGGTTTTCTGCCACAGTCAGCCAGTCTTAACAAAGAAAGTGGTTACATAGCAAACAAAGGTGGTGAATTTGTGATTTTCCATCCTAGGCAGTCAGAGGCATGTTTCCAGGAAGGCCTTAACTTGTCTGAGACAATATTCTCTAGCATACATACAATCAGTTGTCAGAAATGTCTCAGAAGGTTTAGTATTGTTTGGAACAGTAAACACAGAACTGTAACAGAAAGTGTAAGCTTGGTCAATCCATTCCTCAAAGTCATCTTCTTCTTCTGGGTTGGCTTCAGTACACAGATGTTGAGACAGTCTGTCAGTACAAGCAAACTGTAGAGTCAGAACGTGTCAGAACTTGAAGTCAAACAGTAGGATTCTGGCAATCCATCTGTTGATTGTAGCATTTGGCTGTAGGTCTGGGTTATTTATCATACCCTTAACATAAACAGCATCCATTTCCACTACTAACTTCCTCACTCTGATAAGGTGAATTTGTAGAGTATAGGGTGTACAGAACAATCTGAAGAGTTTGATCTTGGCTTGGGAGTATTAGGATTACACTTTGTTCCAGTTAATTGATCTGAATTGGTTGATTCAATGACAACTGTCAAGGTGTTCTTGTCTGAGATAGAATCCTACACTAATAATAGATGAGTCTACAGTAACAATAACCTCCATGTCTGACTCATAGTCAATAGCACATAAGGCAGGGCTATTAATAACAGTGTCTTTGAGTTTGTCCATCACTACCATGTGTTCCAAACAGAACTTGAACAGAATGTTGTGCTTGGTCAAATGTGTGAGTGGTCTAGCAAGCTGAGCAAAATTTTGAATAAACATGTAGAGGACACCTACAGTTCTGAGGAATCCTCTAACTTTAGAGACAGATTAACATGTAGGCCAGTCACAGATTTTCTGGACTTTTGAATCATCTGGCTCCCTTCCAGCATAGGTACACTTATGGCCTAAGATGGTTGTGTACAGTTGGAACACACACAGCTTCAGACTAGAGAATGTTCTGTGGACTGCTTTGACTTACTGTATGACACAGTTTAGGTTGTGAGTGTGTTCCTACACAAATCATTAGATACCAGGGTTTCTGGGAACAGTTTTGTACATTCTGTCCAGAAGTTTGTATCTTGTAGTTCTGCCTTTAACATAGACATTATTAGTGTAGGGTTGTACTGTATTAGGAATTTTGTCCTGTAAAATAAAAGTAATAGAGTATATTGGCAACATGCATTTTGGCCCATATCACAAAAAAAAAAAGCTGTGCTTATTAAAGTTTGAACGTATTATATAAGTACTCACTAAGGTGTCCCTTAGCAACTAATTTGATGTACATCAAATTAGGAAATCACATCAAATCTTTGTGTTCTGTAGTATGTACTTGATGTAAAGAATGAAGAAAAAAGTACATTTACATCCTTCAACATGCCAGAACTTAGTGCTAAAGACTTACTTATCCTTGCTACACCTCTTGTTACAAAACTACCTCTTACACCATCTATATCCTCTATTACTAGTGTACAAACTATTACTACTGATGACTATTATACAAAGGTGGCTTGTTATCAATCAAGAATGCATCACAGAGGTGTTAGCTTTAAATCCTATAGACCACCTATCTCTGGCTGTAGGATTACAGTTCAGTCTCTTAATTCTATAGCTATAAGTACTGTACAATTTTATTTTGGGTATGTAACAAAGTATATTTGTATAATTTGAGTATATAACTGAACTATAATTATAGATTTACTCCTATTCAAATTTTTACTCTTGTTAATGTTTTAAAGATTCCTACTATTTATACTTCAGACAGAGCTGTATTTTCCCCTCTTGAAGCTCTTTGTTTTCTTCTTGCTAGACTTAAGTCTGAAGCAAACATATTTTATTTATCTTCTAAATTTCACAGAGCTCAATCATCCATTTCTTTATGTGTTAATCAATTGTTTGTTGAAATTGATGAGAAGTGGTTTCATCTTCTTGACTTTGATTATAACTATTTACTTCATCCCAACCATTTATCTGAATATGCAAATGCTTTTTCTTAGAAGGGTTGTTTACTTTTGAATCTTTGGGGAATTTTGGATTGTACTATTAGAAGGATTTGTAGGCCATCAGTTTTCCAAAGGCAAGCTTATAATGGGTATAAAAAGTATCACTCATTAAAATATCAAGGTAAGTTATATTTTATTAAACATATACTTTATTAACTATTAATTTTAAGGAGTTGTTATCCCTAATGGACTTATTGCTCATTTATATGGTCTAGTAGAGGGTAGATGTGCTGATGGAGGAATGCTTATTGACAGTCATTTGTTGGAGAAATGTGAGCAGTATACTATTAAACCTGAAGCTAATGAAACTACTCCTTTAAAGGATAGATTCTTTCAGCTTTATGGTGATGGAGCTTATGGTGTTTCTCATGTTCTTGTTTCTCCATTTTCTAATCCAACTCCAGATGAACAGGATTGGAATTCTTCAATGTCTAAATATAGGATTGAAGTTGAACATGCTTTTGGTATTGTTTTGAACAAATGGCCTTTTCTTAACTCTTTCTACAAACATAAAATTTATAATGGACCAGTAGGAAGATATTACAGAGTTGCTGTTCTTCTTACAAATGCTCACAATTGTTTTTCCCCTAACCAAGTTTCTAAAGCTTTTCATTGTTATCCTCCTAGTATTTATCAATACTTTCATGATTGAATGTAAATTTCAAAGTATTTATTAAAAATTCTATTCTATACTTGAAAATAACCTAAGTGAATTTCTCTCAAAGAAAAGAAAGAAAAGCCATTTGAAATTCCCTCTGGGAATCAATAGCTTCTTTGTACAATTCATTGTTAGCTTTAATAACAGCCTGCATATCCTCTTTAAACCGTTTGTTTTCTCGACTCTCAGCTTGCATGAATGCAAGTATAGGGTCCTCTAAGGAATTGGAGTCAGAATCTGTGTCCACTTTACCTGCAGACCTCTTTCTCTTGATCCCCCTTGCCCTCGTGGAAATGTTCTCCTTGTTTGCTTGGACATCAACAGAACCAGCATTGGTGTGACGGTCGACAGAGCCAGCGTTGGTGTGAGCAGTAACGCGTGTGTCATTTGTGAGATTGATAACAGTACTGGTATTGGTTGAAGCATCGACAGAACCGGCATTGGTCAAAGCGTCAACGGAACCGGCGTTGGTCAAAGCGTCGACAGAACCAGCGTTGGTCGAAGCATCGACCGAACCAGCGTTGGTCAAAGCATCGACCGAACCAGCATTGGTGTGACGGTCAACTGAGCTGATGCTTGAACAATCAGCAAAGTCGGCATCCGAGGACACATCAACGGAGCCAGCGTTCGTGAGAGAGCTGGCAGAAGGCTCGCTTGTGAGCTGGCTGACAGAGCCGGCTTTCGCAAGAACACCGGCAGAATCATTCGTGAGCTGGTCAACGGATCCAGCGTTCGTGAGAGCATCGATAACACATCACAATAGATATATATTAGTAAAGGGCAAAAACTGATGCAAAACAACGCACCTCTGCATTGGTAAGTTGGTCAACGGATCCTGCATGCTCCTGTCGACCAGAGCCAGCGTTGGTGAGTACTCCAGAGCTGGCATTAGTAAGCTGGCCAACGGAGCCAGTGTTGGTAAGGTTGATTATGGAGCCAGTATTCGTCACTGTGCCAATAGAGCCAGCATTGGTGAGCTGGTCAACAGAGTCTGCGTTCGTAGTATTGTTGACTGAGCCAGTGTTGGTGAGCTGGTCAACGGAGCCAGCGTTGGTGAGCTGGTCAACGGAGCCTGCGTTCGTGGTAGTGTAGACTGAGCCAGCGTTGGTGAGCTGGTCAACGGAGCCTGTGTTCGTAGTAGTGTTGACTGAGCCAGCATTGGTGAGCTGGTCAACAGAGCCTGTGTTCGTAGTAGCGTAGACTGAGCCAGCGTTGGTGAGCTGGTCAACGGAGCCTGCGTTCGTAGTAGCGTTGACTGAGCCAGCATTGGTGAGCTGGTCAACGGAGCCTGCGATTGTAGTAGCATTGACTGAGCTAGTGTTGGTGAGCTGGTCAACGGAGCCTGCGTTTGTAGTAGTGCTGACTGAACGAGCGTTGGTGAGCTGGTCAACGGAGCCCGCGTTCGTAGTGGCGTTGACTTGACCAGGAATTGAGTGCAAGGCAATTGAACCAGTATTGGTAAGTTGGTCAACAGAACCAGTACTGTGTGAGCCTTTTCCCTTGATGATACCGCGGGTACGTCCAAGTTGTAGAGATGCAGTCCGAATGGCTTCACCGGCACAAGTGTCCTCCTCCTTTTTCTATACAAATAGTTAGTACTAATTTATATAGTGAAAATAATAATAAAAAACTTACTTTACGTGCTTTCTCCTTTTCTTCATCTGATTTCTTTGCAATTGTATCTCGAACTGACCAAACAGCATCACATGGAGCACCCAATAAACTTCCATCACTTCTTTGAGCATCTAAAGCTGCAATAATAGCTTTTACAGCTGGACTATTTAAGTTCTATTAATTATAGTTAGTTAAATAAATACTTAAATTAAAATTATTACTTACTTGTGAACGGTGATAATCAAGAATTGCATTAACCTTAGTAAGAAGTGACGTATCTGTACCCATAATTCCTGCAGCTCGAGCATGGTTTGCAAATACAGCTTTAGCAGACCCTTTCTTGCCATGTTTTGCAGTATCAACACCAGCCATAACATAGCATTGAACAAGCTTGACCATTTGTCTTTCAGTCAAATCAGAACAACTGACTGTACGTGACTTGAGTGCTAGGACTAGTGGTGAAGGAGCAGGAGAAGTAAGAATATGTTCAGACACCATATTTTTTGAAGGCTTATGACCCGGGCTTGAGAGCAATTGAGGAAAAGCAAGAGTATTTGAGAGATGAGGATTCATGAGTAATTTACTAGATGCAAAGTACGTTAACAGACAGTACAAAAGTATTATGTTACATATTTGTGACACAACGTGTTTGTTACTTGACTGTAGCAACAGAGATTTAAGCAAAGGAATAAAGTTTTCTATCAGTAGCCTTGTTAGGCTACCCATCAATTATATAAACATCCTCAGTTAAGAATTGTTAAAGTTTGAGTGGAGGTTCATCAAAATTTGAGTGTCAAAATGTGTATTGCCAATATACTCTAATATTACTGTACATAATTTGAAAAGAATTAGTATAACCCATCAGAATAATAGTAAGTTGGAATGTTCTGAGTAGTGTCTGAAACATTGTAAGATTGTAAGAGCATTTATCAAGAGAGTGTTAGTTGAAAGTAACAAAGAGATCTAGCACAGAGTAAATGGCCCTTCTAGAGAAGGATTCAACAACCTGTTCAATCATCAGAGGTACAGATGAGTCTTGGATCAAAACTTGGTTGAGTTCCTGGAGGTTGTGGACCAGGTGCAGAGACTTTCTGTCTTTCTTTACTACAGTAAACCATCAGGAACAGTAAGATGAGTTTGATGGCTTGTAAACTCTGGTGGCAATTTTGTCTTTGAGAATTTTCACAACTGTGTCAAGGTTTCCCTGTAGAATTCAGATGTTCCTTTGTACTCATGGAATATACAGAACAGTCAGAATCAATATCAGATTGAAGTATTCTGGGTCCAGGGTGTCTTTCTTGAGCTTGTTCCAGGCAAAGGTGTTCTTATACATTGAAATCAGGTTGATCAAAAGCTGGCACTCTTCTGGCTAGAGGAAGTTGTATAGATTGATGTTAAGAGCTTCCATGTGTTCTTGTATGAAACAGTGTGTTGAAACAAACAGCTTGGGGTGTAGTAGTAGTTCTGGCATGTCCTTCAACAGATCAGGATGCTTCTGTCAAACAATTCAAAACTCTTCCAGGAGAGTTCTGGCAACTGGTCTAACCTTCTTTACTACCTTCTTGTATACAAATATGTTTTCTCCAGGGCTGTCAGGTGTGTATAGAACAAAGGGGTCTAATCCTAGAGTGGGTGACAGGGTGACTGGACAACTAAGGAGTAGATTGACTATGGTGGAGACTGGTGTATGTCTATTGTAGGATAGTGTGTGTGTGTTAGGAATTACAGCTTTAGTAGTATTAGAACTTGAATCAGAACACTGTTTGTCCTGAACACTAAGGGGCTGATTGACTAATATAGGAGTTGAGAGATTAGTGATTACTACAAATCCTTGTTTGTTGTGTTTTTGTGGAACAGTTTGTGTTCTGGTCATAACTCAGCACTTCTGTTAACAATCTGAGGGATTCAATAGTGTTATGAATTGGTTACTGTTAATAAAGTCCTTCATTTTACATTCTATAATAGTAAAGAATGGTCAGTCTAGGAGTGCCTCAAACAGGGCTTGACAAACAACTTGAGCTTGGAGGGCAATGTTGACTCTAACAATATTGATCTTTATGTTCTCAACAGTACCAAGTATTAGTACTTGTCTAGAGTTAGTAGTTTTGAGCATAATTGTAAGATTGGAATACAGATGGATTCTGAGACGTTTCCATACATCCTTACAAATGATACAGAGTATTACTCCTTAGTCTAGAATATAGTAGATTTCTTTAGTATCTTTGAAGATGGCTTTAACTGTATATAACAGTATAGCCTGTTCTGTAACTGACTCTAGGCTCTACACATGCTGTAAGACTTGAGCTACAATTGTATCTTCAGAAGTCATTAGTTCCAAGGGTTCTGTTAAGACAAGGTGTGTAGCAGTATTCAGAACTTGCCTAACAGATGACAGTTCCTTGACTTGCTTTCAGACATTAGGTGTAATCAACAATAGCTCCTTTAGGGTGAGGCTAATGCTAGAGTCTAGAATGTAAGAGACTATCTGCTAGACAATGACAGGGTCTTTGATGGGAGAGAGATTACAGTACTAATATGGTTCTAGTAGTAGTCTAGTAGCAGGCTTGTCAGTGTACTTCAATCTGTTATACTTTAGAGCCTGGCTTACTTTGACAGGTAGTGTAGGCTTTAGTTTTAGCTTAGGTTCCTTGTCCTTCTTCTTTGGAACACTTGTTGTTCTGTGTCTCAAAACCTCTACTCTGTCAAACTTAAGCTTCTTACTAGTAGCAACTTTCTTCTTTGCCTCTCTGAGTAAGACTTCAAGTCTTTCAACCTTATATTCTACTTCTGAGACTTCTTCAATATATGTGGCTAGAACAGTAAACAATGTTTAGAATACTAGTACTGGTTTTGCAATTTTGAGGAGGGACACTATATACAGTAGTGTGTCCTGTACATCTTAAGAGACTTGAGCATGCTTTCTAGGGTTGGTTGTGTGATACTGGTTGAAACAATTTATAAGTAGTCAGCCTTAGATTGTTGATAGAATGAATGATCTGTTAGGGAGAACAACCTTTCCAGATGTGTTCTGGATGCACTTTCTATTACAAATGAACTTATTAACCTTCAGACACAAGTAAATGAAGTGTCTGTCTTCTCTACAGAAGGAGCAGTTTGTGTTGTAGGACAGCCCTACAGATTGAGTAGATTGTACAGATTGTACAGATTGTATACCTGTGTTTCCTACAAACAGGGAACTAGTCTTGTATTCAAACAAGTCTAACTTGCTTTAGAATGAGTAGAGTAAATCAAGAATGGTAGTCATGTTTGTGTCTTCTTTCTTTATTAGAACAGTTCTGGAACTCATAGTTCTAAACACATTGACTGTCTTTCCTGAGTGTTACAAAGCCATACCTTCTTACATAAGCTTGGTGGCCTTA